CTGGCATCCTCTTGACCTGGCTGATCTTTAAAGGCCAAACATGTATACCAATATCTGGTGGACTTCATTTAGATTACTTCCCACCAACAGCCCTAGAAAAGACCCAGCTATGCCAACAGAAATCTTATCAGTGCTTACTTTGTCTGACAGACTGGTGCAGCCTACATCAGGGAAGCAAGCACCCCATTGGAAGGTGTGACCATGTACATACACATACATGTACATACCCTTAAGGGTATGCATGTACTACTGACTAAAGTTTAAAGTAGAGCTGTCTGAATTAAACGTAAATTACTATGTTCAGGTAGTAGACACAGTCATGCTGTGAAGCTCTGAACTAATTCATCTCGAGGCAAAATGGATGAGTACTCAGAAATTTGAAAATCCAGGCATTTGCTTAGATCCATTCCTGAAACTTGTTGTCTGCCTTTCTTTTTGAAAGGCATGTAACACTTTCAGGTCTTCCTATTTCCATAGCACAGTTTTGATCACAAACAGTTTGCAATATCAATGCCCTTTAGCAGTTGAGTGACTGCCTTTCCTCCAAGCATAGTAACATGATGATACCTGGTTGTTTTGGCCAAAGTAGTTGTCATGGTTTAACCAAATAGAAAAATAAAAAGTGATACAGTAAAGAGAACCAAAACTTTCTTTCCTTGTAGTGTGAGTCACAAGAGGCCAATCTAACAATGCTGTTTTCCAGTTATTCATACTGAAATAATTAACCATTTTTCTACTGAACACTTGTGAAGGCAACAAAACTTTTAGAGGCCTGTGGATGAAAAATAAACTTATGGCGCAGGTTGGCATTTTATTGTTGACTGGAGACATAAGTGTCAAAATTATTTAATGGCTTGGAAATGCAGTTCAGGCGTGTATGCAGTAAGGTGCAGCCAGTGCTGGTTGCAGACACCACCTTCATGAGGGAAGGAATGCAGAGATACATAGCTGTGTGGTCAGCCTGAGGCTGCTTGACCCAGAGCTCACATTGCCGGTGTCACTGGGAAGGAAGGCCAAGCTATTGTCCCTTTCACCTCCTTGGTAAATATGCTCCTGTGTTTTGTTGCTGGCTGGAGCTACCTGTCAGGTTGGAATCTGGCAAGGTCAGACAATGAAAAGATACTTTAATTTTGCAAAGTAAACACCTATGAAAGTCATTTGCTTAGGAAAGCAAAGTCAGTCAAGAAGAAAACAACAAGTGCTTTCATTTGATCATTTATGCCTTTTACATGCGGATCTTCCAGTCTATCAGTCAGCAGTCTTTATCTGGGTTGAAGACTGTCTGCACCCCATCATCTAGCTATCCTCTTAGCATCATAGAATTGTTTAGGTTGGAAAAGACCTCTAAGATCATTGATTCCAGCCATTAACCTAATACTGCCGAGTCCACCACTAAACCAATGACCTAAGTGCCACATCTACATGTGTTGATTTATTTTGTACGAAGGAATTTTGAAAACAGATATGAAAGCAAGAAATTAATCTAGGGAATAGCTTCCTTAAGTGTCCTCTCCCAGATCTACTGGGATGCTGCCAAATTGAAGGACTAATGCATTTTAAACTCTTATCACCCATGTTCAGGAGCTCATCAAAAGGCATGAGGGGAAAAATCTGAAGTAATTGTCTAAACCATCCTCTGGCTATATCAAGATTTTTCACCGTGCTGTATTAGCCTTTTACAGGAGAGATGCCAGTATTTCTTTTGGGATACACACACTATTTCATCTAGTTCCCAGCAACTTTCTTTGGGTGCTTAGCTGTATTAGCATATTGTTATTTTTATCCTCCCTGTTTAGTCATTCCCTTATAGACAGAGCTGAAAACCTGTCTTTTCTAGAACCACCTCTGTGTACTTCAAACATACGTAAACCCAACCATACGATTCTTTGGCAGCAGAAGAAACTTTTGATTTTAGTTTGGGAAAGAAAGGTTATTTCACTTCAGGTTTGACACTTTCACATATCAAATCAAGTAACAGTTTATTCATTTTTTTCTTAGAAAATAAAATTGCACAATTATTACATATATGACACAATATTCTCTTAATCTTCTGCTGTATTTCTGGACATCTGTATTAAAAAGAAGCCATACATCTTATTAAACTTGTTCAGTTAAGACAAATTTTTTTTCAGGGGATTTCTGTATGGTCTTCATATGAACTCTCAAGGAGGTCTTCTCATCTGCGTCTCAGACTTACCAGAGATGTTAATACTTTGTGTGGAATCACAATTGGCTTCTGCAGTCCAAAAGTTAAGATACAAGAAAGGGGAAAATTATAATTGCAGGCAGAGAAGAGGTGGTCTGCACTTAAGCAACCCTAATCGTATAAACATAGGAGTTTTAGAAGTCCTAAAAGAAATGGGGAATGTTTTCCTGTAAATATCAGAAAGACAGAAAGTCTTACCACATATTTTCTTTGCTTTTGCGTTGCTTCAAATTACAACATACTTGGTGTGCTGGTTTGAAAAGCAAACCGGTGAGAGACTCTGAGTCAGAAGTACGATTTAATATGAACAACACAACAAAACAACACAAATGCAACAGTACAAAATAAAATAACCTGACAGAGTCAGAAAACAACCTGACAGAGTCAGAAAGTAACCTGACACCCTGACACCCTGTCAGTCAGGGTGTAGTATGAGTCCGATTAAATGGTGGCTGCAGTCCTCCTGGAGCGATGGGTCTGTTGGAGCAGTGATCCCACAGATCCGGTTCTCTCCTGAAGGTCCAGCAGCAGCTCTTGTCCTCTGGGAATCCAGCAGGCAAAGGGCTCCCTGTGCTGGTCCAAACCCCAGATTATATCCCTGTGAGCATGTTTGGCTCCCCACCCCTGGGGTGAGTCACCTCACCATGGGACAAGGAGGTAAGGATCTATGGGAGGATGTGCCATGCATGGGTCCTTGACAGCCCGTTAATCAGAGACAGCCCCCTGAGGGAGCCATCAGGATTGCCCTGAGGGAGGGACAAGGTGATAACGATCACTGCCCCACCTGCTTTAACAGCTTGTGGAGATGATAATGGAATACATACCATGGATACCCCCCACACTGCAACCCAGGACATGGCCAAAATCCTGGAAAGGCATGAGACAACACAGAAAGTATTGGGGTGAACTGAGGATGAAAATGTCAAATTATTCTTGGTGTTATTTTTAATACTTTCTCTCTCAGGATGTGGTTGTGGATAATAGTCAGTTGCTTGTTGGTTGTTTTGCCCCAGAACCTATTTATAGTCTTGTGGCAAAACTTAACAGATAAAGAATCCACCGCTGTACTCAGTGGTGCAACCAGTAGCAAGGGCTACAGAGAGGCACTGTGCAAAGCTGGGAGTGAGACGTCAGGGGCGAGGAGAAAATCTGAGAAACTGAGATTGTGCCACTTCTTTTCAAATACACTTTGCAGTGCATGGGTAGTCTGTAAAAGCTATCTGTTCTTGCTATTGCTTTGTATTTTTGTGGCTTGAAAAACAAATTGGTGTCATTCTGCTTGATATGTAATTCTTAGTTGTAGTAACCCTCTGAACTTGCATGATGTGTTTTGTCCTTAGATCAAAAGGCTGGGTGAACTTACATGCAGCTGGAATGAGAGGCCCAGAAAATCAAGCTACCCAAGACATTATAATGAGTTCATGGCAGGACTTTGGCTAACATGAATATTCCCTATTTCATACTCTAAATGGTAACTGAGATAAAAATTCAAACAGTGTATTATGGTTGAGGCAGAATGGAAATCAAGCTCATCTTTTTGGTGAACTGGTGGCAATTTAAAGAAAAACTTAAATAGTTCATTGTCGTTGTTGTCTATACTATAAAATATGCTCAAACCACAGGTGTATATCCATACCAAAGTGCTACATTTTATGCTTACTTTTTCTCTTGGACTGAAGAACAGTGATTTATGTAAACCATGGGATCTCTATGTCTAGGAGAAGCAAAAAGCACAAATACTAGCACTGATGTATCATGTAAAGCAAACCTGTGGTGCAGCTGCAGAGTATAATTTCATGCTGGCTGCTCATTTTTAGAAGCTCTCTGATTCATTAGCCCAGTGGGAAGAAAATGGGAAGAAAGCACTTTAATTTCTGAACTCTGAGAATTTGAGCTCATTTGAAAACGCCTTATTACCACTGCAGCAATCTCCTCCAGAAGAGCTGGGATTGAAATAGCACAGTATGATGTAGGCTTCTGCCAAGTGTCATGGCAGAGCCTGAGACTAAGAAAATAGTGGTCAAAGGTGCCATGTCCTGGCAGAGGATGAGGGCAGCTTCCACAACACTAATCAAAAATATGTTTTACCTTATCCTAACATACAACCCTAGATTCAGGCTACTCTGAAAGATGTTTTAGAG